TATAATGGAAGTGAATGGGAATCACGGCTTTGAGAGTCATAAAACATACACAAACAAAACCAAATGAAACCCTGCGGCTCGTGATGATACATTGATGGGTAAAGATACGAAACGATCGGTCTGTGCAAGAAACTGAACAGTATTTATATCGTTTTTTATCTCTGATTCACCGCAATGTTCGAACCGCCACCTATCTCTCAAATGGGCCATTGACACTCTATCTACAATCTCAATTAGGAGTGTCAAAGGTCCATTTGAGAGATAGGTGGCGGTAATGCACTTATAAGTCTGCGATCTGCCGTAAAGCAAGAAGAAGATGATGCGTCGGCTGTCGAGAACGTGGTCAGGACAGTTCGGACATTGCAGTGCATCTGAGGTAAAAAAAACGATATAAATACTGTTCCGTTTCATGCACAGACCGAACGTTTCGTGTCTTTACACATCAATGTATCGTCACGAGCCGCAGAGTTTAATTTGGTTTTGTTTGTGTATGTTTTTTGACTCTCAAAGCCGTGATTCCCATTCACTTCCATTATATGACTGACAGACTGCAACGGTTTGAGTTAAAAATCTTTGTTTGTGTTCTACTGAAGAAACAAAGTCACCTACATCTTGGATGCCCTGGGGGTAAGCGGATAAACATCAAATTTTCATTTTTGGGTGAACTATCCCTTTAACTGAGGTCTATGCATGCTAGTTTCCATGACAGAGTTCAAAATAAATCTTTTCATTACCACTGGAGCTGCCAGTTTGCTTAGCTTTCTAATGATTATTAAACAGCAAGCATAAACTATGCAAAAGTGGCAACCTTTCCAGCACACCTGGTCACTTCATGCATTTTCTCTGATCGGTTAGCTATCCAATCATGAAAAAAAAAACAGGTGTAAATTCCCTCAAAAACGATTTCAAGATGGATTTAAATCTGATCGCTCAAACCACTTCAGAGGGTGGTCTGGGACACATTTTAGATGAAACTGGACAAGTGTAAATGCTTCTGGTTGTCGAAACCACATATGTAAATTTTACTCCTCCCAAAATGTTAAAATAAAGGTGTGACAGCTATAGGCTTTATGACATGTTACAGTCAGGTGACAGCGCTAATCTCTTCAGTTGAGTATCTCTTCAGCAAGCCGACACACAAAGTGGCACAAATGAAATGGAATTCTGAACACATTGGTTAGCTTGTTCAGGTGTGTTTGGTCAGGGTCAGAAGTCAGAACTAAACTTACCAGGACACTAACCCTTCAGGATTGAACTTAAAGGTGCTCAGAATTCTCCTACTTGTATTGGAAAATAACCAATGGAACACTGCTTTCGTTGTTGTAATCTTGCAAATGATGCACACAAAATAGGAAACACTTTGGGAGTTTCAAAGTCATAATCTGATTGGTTGAAGAAGAAAGCTGTCATGTTTATAACTGTGACAATGATCGCTTATCAAGATCAACTAAACCAGGGGTATCCAATCTTGCTCCTGGAGGGCCGCTGTCCAATGGCGTTTAGCTCCAACCCCAATGAAACACACCTGAATCAGCAAGGTTTACTAAAAACTTCCAGTTGTGAGGTGTGTTAAGGCAAGCTGAAGTTAAACTCTGCAGGACAGTGGCCCTCCAGGACCGAGTTTGTGTTGAAAGCGTCGCTGCTTCAGAACGCTTCACTTCGCCATCACTAGGTTATAGTACATTAAAGAATGATCATGTGACTTATGTACACTTGGTGACCTGTAAATGCGGGGGGAAAAAAATTAAAAAAAAACCTATTGCAGTTTTGTGATATATTCCTTTTTCGAATTGCCTGAAAACCCACCTTTCAGGAGCGTAAAAATATTTTTTGTGACATATGGGAGTTTTTGCGAAATTGACATTTCCAGTTTTCAATTCACAATTTCAATTTGCCCAATTTGATCTACAGCATCAGTTGCATCACTTCACTGCCATTCACAAATCCCCTCCTGTGGCTTTAATGCAAATTTGAACATACTATTTTCATGTACACGTTTTTCTCTTACTACAGCACACTGAAATGTGGCATATATATACCACTGAAAATGGTGCCAAACTATACTGAAATATTGACAAATGCAGTTTATTTCAAGTATTGTAACAATGAACAAATTGGCATAATGTACAATGTGTAAATCATGTACAAGCATCTGAGAAAATGAAATGCATTTTAAGACTGAGCTAGTGTGCAGCCCTTAGACACTATTAATGCAAAATGAGTAACAAATGTGACTTCATTAAATCTGTCCCTTGAACAACATAAAACAAACTATAAAAACATATCCAACAGCAAATGCTTTTAATCAATATTTTAAAAAGTTCTGATAAAATAAAAATCAATTTTTTTCCAGATCAGTTCTTCAGAGGTTAGCCAACCAGATGCTCATGTACAAGTGTGCAGTCTGGGGAAAAAAACAAGAAAAAAAAACACAAAAGACCTAGTGGAGCCTTTCATTTTTCTCCTGACCCATACTAACTGCTTAGATAACTAACTTGTAGGCCCATCACAAGAGCTGCTAACAGGTTCGGTGTCATTAGTGTTGGACTCTGAACCGGTTTGCTCCGTTTCTTCACCTTCCTGTTCTAAGAGATCCGCCTCTTGGCTCAGTCCCGCGGCATCTTTTGTGCTTCCTTCCTGGGTTTCTGTTGAACCATCTTTCCTCTTGCCCTGTTTGTCACGGAAGACTTCCACCCCCACCATGCGGAGGTAATGAAGACGCTCATTACGTGGGACAAAAGCCCTGATGGAAGTTTTTCCTCTCCAGCCGCACAAATCTATAGGGCACTGAGGAGCATCAAGATCCCTGGAGAGATGAGAAGAAAGAAAAATTAAAAGTTGATACAAGAGGGAAAAGAGCCAAAGAATGAGTGACGGAGAGAACAATGAGAGGAGAAAGCAAGACAGAAGAAGGGGAGAGGAAAATTAGCAAATTATTGATCAGCTACAGTGCAGACAGCGCCAGGAACCGACATGGAGTGTGACAGGGATGGCGGTTGGGGCACTTTAAGAGCGCCTGTGATCAGACGGATGGAAAAAGAGAGTGAAAGATGATCAGGCGCACTTTGCTGGAACAGGCCGTCATGTTTTCATGTGTGGAGCCAGCAGCACGCTGCCAGCAGAGGAGGATGACACCACAGCGCCACGCGCCGCTAATCACAGTGACATCAGAGCTGCTCTCGTCTCGTGTCACTTACTGTGATGAACAGCGAAGAACAAGTGCGCGCATGTCTATATTAGAGTATGTGCTTTGTGGGGGCTCATATTAATGAGAAAATAAACACATATTCATAGATTCCCATGATACCGTGAGGCTAATTTAGACATGTCGTCTAGCACATAAAGGAATGGAGCAATAATGCGGTGTGGTGAACATTTATCAACCATACCGTTTGTTGTGAATACTGAAAAGGGCTGTTTGAGATTCAGTTTAAAACTCACACATTTTTGCTCAATTGAGGCAGATTTATTTTCCACAATTCCTTGATGCACAACAAAGAACTTGTATGACTTTATCTCAGATCACATGATTGAAAAACAAATTTTTATTATTAATATTTTGCACTAGTTTCGCAAGGTGAGAATTTTGTTCTCTTCACAGCAATGTTAATTTCGTTGACGAATAATTTGTCAAAATTTAACAACATTTTTTTCACCGACGACAACGAGACGATAACGAACTAAAACTCTTTTTGAATGACAAAAACTATGTAAATCTATTGACATTTTCGTCAGCGAATAAAAACGAGACAAAAATGTTAGGGAGGGACGATTTGGGAAGAGATTCATTCAGAACGAATCTGCAGCGTGATTCGGAGGTTAGATGCGTACATATGAACCGGCGGGACATAAGCTAACATACACTTGCTGCACGTCGCATAAAACGTTAAAAAATGTCAATATGTGGGAGTAAGAGAAGAGCAGACATATGGATAAATCTGACGACGCAAGAGAGAACTCAATTCGGTCCGGTTTTCTGAGCGCACACTGTAGCATACACACACAGAGAGCGCATCTCACAGCGCGTCTCACAGACTCTTTCGCGTCGCATTAACTGAGAAAAGGCGTTTTAGGAGGGCGTGGACGAGTCTTAACTTTTATAAAGAATATCTCTTTCAGTGTTAATTTCGTTGACGAATAAATTGTGTCATAATTTTCATCAACAACATTTTTTTCACCGACGACAACGAGACGATAACGAACTAAAACTCTTTTTGAATGACAAAAACTATGTAAATCTATTGACATTTTCGTCAGCGAATAAAAACGAGACAAAAATGTTAGGGAGGGACGATTTGGGAAGAGATTCATTCAGAACGAATCTGCTGCGTGATTCGGAGGTTAGATGCGTACATATGAACCGGCGGGACATAAGCTAACATACACTTGCTGCACGTCGCATAAAACGTTAAAAAATGTCAATATGTGGGAGTAAGAGAAGAGCAGACATATGGATAAATCTGACGACGCAAGAGAGAACTCAATTCGGTCCGGTTTTCTGAGCGCACACTGTAGCATACACACACAGAGAGCGCGTCTCACAGCGCGTCTCACAGACTCTTTCGCGTCGCATTAACTGAAAATTACACACAAAATGGATGCTGAATTGTCCGTTTTGACGAGTATTCACATAAACACAGTTAATTACGTCTTAAGTGAACGTAAACAGTAGGAAGAACGTGT